CGCCACCCTCCAAGTACCATTAGTTGACTTTATCAAGCAGGCTACGGCTATCGAGCGGGCCCTCCATCAACGATGCAGGCAGTATCATCGAATGTCTAGAAGCGTCCCAATTAATGCTGCCGCCATACCTGAGGATCAAAGCTCCCTGCGAGACCTCATTAGGGAGATAGTTCGCGAAGAACTGCAAAAGTTCCGGAATCCAGTTGCTCAAACCCCCGTTGCGTCCGTCACTGAACTGGTACGCGACGAAATCCGCCACGCATTTTCTACCACTGGTCCTGGTGACGAGCACCGTCCCATGAGCTATGCCGATGCTCTGCGGCGTTCACCATCTGGTACATCGCCGCCATATCACCCAGTGCCGACGGCGCCTTGGTCACCGCCGCAAGAGCAGACTCTGAGCCGACCGCCAAGCCAACCGACGTACCACTAGGCGTCCACAGCAGCACCATGGACATCTTCGCAAGAAGGGAGGCTCAGACGTCCACCGCTCCGAAGAACAGACGCATGGTGCACAATCGATCGACGTCCACTATGCTTTAACTGCGGAGGTGCAGGTCATATTGCCCGTCATTGCTGGAACCGCAGTGATTCGTTCCACCCTGTTCGAACATGGTCTGACGATCGACGTGCGAACGAAGAATACATACCACGCCGGGAGGACGCCTCTTTCCATGGAGCCCGTTCTCACTTTTACGAATACCGTACTTCTGACGAGGAGGCAATACCTACCCGCCAGCCAGGTTTGGGACGTCAATCCCGCTCTCCTTCTCCCGCTCATTCACCTTCGTCACACCGACATACCTCCGCGGACCTTAACGCAAGAAGGTCACCCAGCCCGCGCCGGGGAAACTGAGGGCGGCGACCTCTGGGGGTAAGGTTGCAAGCCATGAAGATGACGACGAAAAGCCTCCATTACACGACGCTGTAAATCCGACAAGACGTGAGAGCGACGACATTGTGACCGCCGACCTGAGTGTTTTTCTTGACGGCCAGAAAGTAACAGCCTTAGTCGACACCGGTGCCGACTTTTCTATTATCAGTCAGGACCTTGCCATCCGCCTCAAGAAAGTGAAGACACCGTGGACAGGCCCTCAAATAAGGACGGCAGGTGGTCAGTTATTGATGCCCTCTGGAAGATGCACAGCGAGAATTGACATAGGAGGTTCTTCTTTCATTGCGTCGTTCGTCGTTCTCGCCGCATGCTGCAAGGATCTAATTATTGGTATAGACTTCTTACGAGAGTACAGCGCCGTCATCAATATCCCAGACAGTTTGATTACATTCCGCAACAGTTCGGGCGCACCTGATTGTACACAGGCATGACCAAACCAATTGCGTCTAACTGATGACGATGTGGTTCTCCCTCCTCGGTCATGCACGCTTGTTTCTGTGGCAGCCACTGTTCAGTTTGACGGCGAAGGAGTAGCAGACCGAATAACCTCGCTCCTTCTCACACACGGCAATTCCGTCGCAAGAAGTATCATCAGTGTCGCCGCTGGACGCACGGACTTGCTTCTGACCAATTTTAGTGATGAACACCGGCACCTTCCAAAAGGCATGGCCGTCGCTTACTTCGACGATATCACAGACGCAGAAGGCTGCTTGGCAGTAGTCGACGAGGCGCCAAAACTTGATTTAACTCCAGTTCTCGACGTTAGCACTACTTTGCCTAAGAACGAGCGAAAGAGGCTTCTTGAGCTACTGGCCGAATTCAAAGACTGCTTTTCGACAACATCAAGAGTTGGCCGCACGCCTCTAACCAAGCATCAGATAATTACCGAGGACATGGCGTGACCAATTCACCAAAAGCCCTATCGCGTGGCTGCAAAGGAACGCGAAGTGATACAAGAGCAAGTCGACAAAATGCTAGATGACGTCATTCAGCCCTCAAAAAGCCCCTGGGCGTCACCTGCAGTCCTCGTTAAAAAAAAAGACGGCAGCCTGCGCTTCTGTGTAGATTACCGAAAACTCAATCAGGTGACAAAGAGAGATGTGTATCCACTTCCTCGTATAGATGACTCTCTCGACAGACTTCGACATGCTCGTTACTTTTCATCGATGGACTTAAGGAGTGGGTATTGGCAAATTGAGGTAGACCCAAGAGACCGCGAGAAGACTGCTTTTGTGACACCAGATGGCTTATATGAATTTAAAGTCTTGCCCTTTGGTTTTTGCTCAGCGTCTGCTATCTTTCAAAGACTTATGGATACCGTACTTTCTGGGTTGAAGTGGAAAACCTGCTTGGTCTACCTTGATGATGTCGTAGTTTTCGCCGCAACATTTGACCAGTACCTTAAAAGACTTGAGGCAGTTTTACAAGCCATACGGTCTGCAGGCTTGACGTTGAAGCCTGAAAAGTGCCACTTTTGCTATGAAGAGCTGCAATTTCTTGGCCACGTTGTCAGTCACGCAGGCGTTCGTCCTGATCCTGAAAAGATCGCAGCTGTTGCACAGTTCCCGGTGCCGACTGATAAGAAGGCTGTCCGACGATTCCTCGGACTATGTGCGTATTATAGGTGATTCATCGCAGACTTCGCACGCATCGCATCACCGTTAACCCGCCTCACGAGAGAAGACGTTGCTTTTCAATGGAGCAACGAAGAGGAAGCTGCTTTTAAGAACCTCTGCCAGCGACTACAGACGCCTCCAGTGCTTGCCCACTTTGATGAAAAAGCCCCAACGATGCTACACACTGATGCCAGCAATATTGGTTTGGGAGCTGTGCTTGTGCAGCTGCAAGAGGGCACAGAAAGAGTAATCGCCTATGCAAGTCGAACCCTAACACGCGCCGAAACTAATTACTCCACGACTGAGAAGGAATGCCTCGCCGTGGTATGGGCGGTCAGAAAATTTCGCCCGTATTTATACGGCCGCCCTTTCAAAGTCATCAGCGACCACCATTCACTGTGTTGGTTGACAAATCTTAAAGATCCTACCGGGAGATTAGCGCGTTGGAGTCTCAGGCTGCAGGAGTACGACATGACTGTCGTACACAAGTCGGGGAACCGCCACATGGACGCCGACTGTATATCCCGCTCACCCATTGAATCGGCAACTCTATCCGATGAGGAGGAAACAGCATTTCTCGGTGTACTTGACTCAACCACTATTGCACAGCAACAACCTGGCGACCCTGAGTTACTTGCCCTAATTAATTACCTGGAGGGAAGATCTCAGAAGGCACCAACTGTTTTCGTAAGAGCGCTGTCATCATTTTGCTTATGGGGCGGAGTACTATACAAAAGAAACTTCTCTTCGACAGGATCTGCGTATTTGCTCGTCATCCCAGCAGCCCTTCGCTCCGAAGTACTCGAAGCATGCCATAACGAGGTGACTTCAGGCCACTTAGGTTACACAAGAACGTTGGCCAGAGTACGGCAGCGCTACTTCTGGCCAAGACTGACCATAGTCGTAAAACACCATGTTCGTACTTGCCTCAACTGCCAGCGACGGAAGTCACCGCTGACTAAACTAGCTGGCCTCCTGCAGCCCGTGCAGGTCCCAAGAACACCATTCGACCAGATTGGCATGGATATTTTGGGCCCACTTCCTACTTCTACTGCTGGGAACCGCTGGGTTATTGTCGCGACTGATTACCTTACCTGTTATGCTGAAACAAAGGCTATTCAGAGAGGTACAGCAGTAGAGGTGGCACAATTTTTCATCGAGAACGTTGTCCTGCGGCATGGGGCACCAAGCGTCGTAATCACAGACAGAGGAACCGTATTTACGGCAGCTCTTTTGGAACAAGTCCTCATGCTGAGTGGAACAACCCATCGTAAGACCACCGCTTACCACCCGCAAACGAACGGGCTTACAGAGCGTCTGAACAAAACAATTGAAGACATGCTTTCAATGTACGTAGACGTCGAACACAAAAATTGGGACGAAATCGTGCCATATATCACGTTTGCATACAACACTGCCAAGCAAGAAACAACCCGGATGACCCCGTTCAGCCTAATTCGGGAAGTACGAACCATGTTAGATGTGATGCTAGCGCACGAATGCGACGACATCGAAGAGGATGCCGAGATGTTTACAGAACGAGCGGAAGAAGCAAGGCAACTAGCACGCCTGCGAATCCAGCAACAACAAGAGTACGACGCGAGCCGCTACAATTCTCGCCGCAGAACAGTCGTTTACCAGACCGGCGACAGAGTATGGGTTTGGACGCCCATACGGAAACGAGGACTCTCTGAAAAGCTCCTAAGGAGATACTTTGGGCCATATCTAGTACTGCGACGACTGAGTGATGTTACTTACGAGGTCGTCCCCGACAGTTCATGTAGTAGGAGGCTTCGCCAGCATCGTCCCGAACTAGTTCACGTTGTGCGCATGAAGCCTTATGAAAGGTAGTGACTGCGCAAGACACTTCTTAAAGAACAGACAAAAAAAAACTGCAGTACTGGTTTAGCATCGGGGCGATGCTCATTAAGAGGGGGGCAAATGACGCGTGTGTACTGGTGGACCAAAACGACGATAAGGGGATTTGGCAGACACCAGGTAGTGGAGCTCTAGTTGATCGAAGATAAAAAAGGTGATCTTGCTGTTCGGCTGCTGAGAGTCGCTGTGTCAACGTTTATCTGCCTTTGGTTCGCGCTGTACCGCGACAATACGAATCAACATACCTCTCACATGCATGCCCTCCGCACATAGGAAACTTACAAGGATCAGCACACATGGAGGGCATATAAAAAGCTGGAAGATCAGATTGTGATGCTGTGACTTTTCTTGGGATTTCCCCCTTCCTCCCAACAACAGCCTGATGCCTGCATGCATGCCAAAGGTACCGAGGTCAATACCCTGCACCCTCACCAATACGTTGCAAATATATTTACAACTTATTTACCATACAAAATAGTCCAGCAGTCAAGGTGACAGCTGTTAATTAACCTACAAGTTGTTGACCCTTTTTTTTTTTTTGCACACCTCACCGTGGCGATAGCTACAACCTTACAACAACATGAAGGAAATATAATTCAACAACAAAATACCTGCCGAGTCTTGCCAAAACTAAGTAAATGCTGTAACAGCAGGCTCCCCTGGTAGACCACTGTTGTTCCTAGCTGTGACTTGTCAAACTCTTCATATCTTTTCATATATAAAATGAGAGGTGTCAGAAAGGTTTGCCGGTCTTCTGGATCCGCACAATGAAGAGTTTTCATCAATGCCTGAATGCAACGAAAAGGACAAAAAATGCAGGACATAAGATGGCACTACGTTTGGGGCACTAAATTGTTTTCATGACTATCAGCATAAAGTACACAAGGTCTAACTGAACAGTAATGTCGGTTAGCAACATATACTAAGCCTTGAGTCAACATATCCTAGCATGCAGTCTTATATTGCTGCACTAGGCCATTTTTCCTTACATTGCACTGATAGCTAAATTTACAAAGAAACACAGATGCCAAGTGTTAACATTGTCACTAAAGATGTCTTATACAATGCGATACAAGAGCCAAAATGACATGGTTGCCACTACTTAAATGAACTTCTACACTCAAATCACACAACACTATTTTTAATACAATTTCTTACCGTGACAAACCTTGCCTGGTTCACAGAGTGAGTTTTGCAGGCAGCAGCAATGCACACTAGCATTGAAATTTGTTGATGGTCCAAGAGGGCATCAAATCCTGGCTCCAATTCTTCATACATTTCTTGAAACTGTAATGCAAACACCGGAATAAGTCAAGCATTACAAACTATGCATGCATTTCACAATTCAACTAAATATTACTGGTACAATAGTACAATGTTTCAAGCGAATAGAAAGCCGAAAGACTTATTCCTTTTCTTTCTTTTTTGGCACAACAGTTATGCTTGAAGCTATTGGCAACCCTTGAGGAGGGACACTGCTCTGAAGAGTATTTTTTTTAATCAATTTTGATGAAACTTGGTGAGCTTATTTATATTTGCATGCAGATTTCAAATATGCAAACATTTTGCTAGTATAATATCCAGTTTTTAAAACACAAAATATTTCATGAGCCTTTTGAGGAGCAAAAATTTTTTTTTAAATAGTTACAAAGCAAATCACCACATAGCAACACTCAGGAATCACAACTGTATGCAGTGCAATCAAAATAGGTATTCTCAACCCAATAGAACAAAAGTTATAATATGTTGAACACTTACCAATGAGTCAAATTCAAGTTGGAATCATACTAGCAAATGTTCAGCATACAATAACTTTGGTTACGGTACGTCCCTTAAATCCCCAAGCCCGAGCTAACCTTGTTGGGAGCTAAGCAAAATAGTTCTTCACACTTAGTCCGAGTTTATGAAAGAAATAGATAAGCACAACAAGACTTGCATGTCGGCGATGTGCATCGCCACACTGACCCAACAAGTTACTTGCCGCACCAGTGCATAGTCTGCAGTGGCACGTGTACAAGAAACACTTCCACAAAAAAATGTGCGTTCGGCCCAGCAAGTGGCCCAGCAGTGATGGCGCAAGCTGAGTTAGAAGGCAACACGTCTAACACAACTAGCCAGGGACGATCAGCTATGCACAGCACAGTAGTGCCATTCATTTAAACAGTGTCCGTTTTATGTCACCTTATAGAAGCACTTCTCAATGCCCTCTGCAGTTTGCACAATTACAGCCTTAAGTATTTCCATAGCAGCAAACAAACCAGTCATAAGTACAATGTCGGCACCAGCTAGATCTTGAGCGCGGTCAGCATCTGTTCAATTAAACGCCGAGAAGACATTTTGAGTGCGTGAATGATGTCAATGTCCAGCAGTTGAACCTTAGATCTTGGATTCAGTGGCAGAAATAGTATGGTCATCAAGGTCACAGAAAGCTTCACATCGCACTTAACAGGTGTTAAGCACATATTGTACTGTAATGCATCAGCACTTCCTGGTAGTCCTCAGCCAGCCACTCAAAGAAAAATATACATGCCATCCAAGCCTTTGTGTTGTGTCTGTAGCACACTGAAACATAAATACCAAAGAACTGCAGCTTGTAAAACTAAGATGAGAAATGACAGCTATCAATCACAGCCATTAACGTTTCTACACAGTTTACTGTGCTTTCCACCAACTGAAGTGCCTCCTTTAGAAGCATGGGCTTCTGATGGCAACATCTCGTAGAAGACCGCAGTTTTAATGGCATTGCATACGTCCCACTGATATCATAAAGCTTAGCAATATTAGAATAATATAGAAGGATAATGGTATAACTGTGCACAAAGAAAGACAAAGGAACACAAGAAGAATCATGCGTCACCGTCTTTGATGTCTATTGAGGCTACTTCACTGGTGACGGTTTTGAATATTAAACCAGTGTTCGTTCATTCCATGTTGAACTTTAAACTGGTGCGCCCAGCTAGAAATCAGAAAGTCCAAGGGGAAAAAAAAGCTTCTTGTTTACCGAAACAAGCAGCAAAAAGCTCTACTAAATTTTATTAAAGCTTCTTGTCTAGGTAAGCATCAGCGGTCTACTGACGAGATTATTTCAGGACCAGGCAACAATGAACCAATAAAGGAATGAATCTTGAAAATTTGTGACAGCCTCCCAATGGCACTTTCTTGCCTTTGCGTCAGTGTTAGAGGGGTCGTGCCATGTTTTCTGAAAATTTTCAACCACTATGTATTCAGAATCCTGGCCATCCATTCAATACTATATCTCAACTTGTTTCATCGTTCAGATTCATTTTAATAGCTGTAAAAACATGATTTCGACTTCCCGCTCCCGTTCTCCTGAACTGTACAGCTGACGTCACATTAAATCAGCCAATAAAAAGTCTCTATCATCAACACAACATGGCAATGCAGCGATGTTAGCTGAGCCATAGTTTATCGACATTCATAGCATCACACCGTCTTGATTACGGCACTGTAAAGCAGTCACAAACATTGTTTCCACTTTGATAAGTTGTGCGGCACTGCCTGACGATGCATCCGGTAGGCATAGTGAGCACTAGACACCTAGAACAGGCCGTAAAACACAACTTATTGCAATCAGTAAGTAAAACACTGGGACGCTGCACCGAACAAGCGAAGGCAACACGTGACGGAGCTCAAATGAATTTAGAAGCAGAACTAAACAGATCCCTCGCTGTACTTCCACAGTATACACAGCTAAGAGTGCAAAAATTGCTGGATTATTTTTTTTCTTTCCTAGGTTTTTATAAATATAATATTTTGGAGCAAGAGAAAGCTAACAGTCCATTTCTAACTTCTCTTACCATGACATTTCACTGACGTCACATGTTAGCGATTACATTCGATTGTTTAGGAGCCCGAGAAAAGTGCAACATCAAACAGGTGTCATTAATTATAGACTAGATATTATACCGAAAAGTTTTGGAGTTGACATGTCTAATCCTTACTGAAGAAGGGAGAATTATAAGCGGGCAGCTTCATTTTTCTTTCACGTCCCCTTCAATACTTGGACTTCTTCTCTTCCTCTCGTCGCCGGCTATTATTCCAATGGTTGACTTAGGGAAGCCATATTTCTTCAGCAAGTAGCAGTTCTCCTTCCCTTAGGCATACCTTTATTCTTGTGACATTAACAGCTTTTCTTTTTACACTAAAAGCTGAAAAATGAGCTGTCTACTGTCACACTACGTAGATTTGTAATTCAGAATCTTGCAATGAAGCTGTTTCAAAGCCTCATATTTCACTCGAAATTGCTAAGATTGTCAAGATGTTCATATTTTCTGAAAAATCATTTTCGCTGTGTGATGCCGACATAACCTATAGGTTGGCTTCCTAGTGGCACACCTGTCAAGACTAGATCAGTAGAGTTGCTGCCGTGAAAAAATGGTGCCAGTGTTCCTACAGTGGTGCCACCAGATCGCTGATACTCTTCAACATAAGTAGGAGAGTAGAGGAATGAGGCCAAGTCATGCGTCATAAAGCAGGGGAAGCTCTTTCATAGCTAGCCGAAGGAAGTGCGCAGTTTTAAAACTAGATGGATAAGTTTATGGAACCTGCAATTCATTCTCACCAAGTTGTGAAGGCACAGTTGTTCATTTTATCTGAGACACAGTGGCATTGCCATAATGCATATTTTAAGGCATGGGAGCAACATTCTGGTTTTGTAATAACAGAGCATTCCCTATAGCTGCAGCCACTAAGTGGCCTCAAGATTTGTACATCACATTTTGACTACCAGCATTGAAAAGAGATTTTTCATCTTTCAGAGTTTTAGTCGTTGAACTGAACTTATTAAAAGACATGATCTAACATTCTACCTAGGCTACTAGAATTTTTGACAATAGTCCACAAGACTTCATTGTTTAGAATATGAAGTTAAACACACCTGCTCAGATGATGCAGCACACTCCACAACCCGTTGTGCACAAAATGTAGATACAGGATGAAGTGACATCTGAAGCAGGATCCCCGAAATGTAGTTGTCCCATAATTTAGTAAAAGACTTGGCAGAGCAACGCTTGAGCAGTTCTTCCACAGTGAATGAGGCACTTGGGTCCATAAATGCAGGCGGTAATGCCCTAGAAATAAAACAGCAGGCTGGTCAGCATCCTCCTTTAGGTCATGCTACAACGTGTGTTACGTTGTTCGTCGATCCCTGTGCGTTGGCGCAAGCGAAGTAGACACAAGCTGACAAGCTGGTAGAATGGGCGTTTACTTGCAGTGTACATTGCAACATAAAGACTCAAAGTAAAGAGGGAAAGGGAAACAAGTTAAGTGAAACAAGAGATAGAAGCTTTGGCTATAACCGAGCCAAAAACTGATAAAGGTTACACTTCAGTTACAACACTTCTCCATCAATAATATTGGAGACGCTGCACAGGTTTCCGCTGTCGTGTTGAGCGCCGGAGTTCTGTGGTCACTATAGGTTCCCTGGACTTCTGCTTTTCCTGGCCTTGGGTTGGGGATGATGACTGCAGCTGGTGTGGTGGCTCACGGAGTTCCGCCTTTACGTTTGGCCCTGATCCGGAAGTTTCTGGCGTAGTTCTCGACATAGGCACACTTTCCCCTTCCCTGTCACGGTGGGGTTCAACCGAGTCTCTCCTTGTGTGAACTTGATCCACATGTCTCCGAACAAGGTCCTCTGGCGTCTCGACTGTCACCATCCTCGCTCCGTCGGCTGACTTTACCATGCCGGTCTTCCACTTTTCACTCTTGCCAAAGTTGCAGATGTAAACATTCGTGTCCAGTGCCCGGATCCACTCATCTGCTTCACCTGATCTTACTGCAATCAAGGGGGAAAGCACATGTCCAGACGAGATCGAATTCCGTAGCCCAGGAGAAGCTTCAAAGGAGACTTGCCCGATGCGAGGGGTGTTCTCTGGTAATTGAAGAGTAGTCTGCAAGGGCAATCTTCTAATCGGCCCTGGTTAATCTTCTTCAGCCCATCTTTCACGGTTCGAACAGCTCTCTCTGCAAGGCCATTTGACTGGGGATGACTTGTGAATTGCGTTCCATTATCTGAAACAAGGGTGCGCGGAATGCCGAACCTGCTGAACAAGATGCGCAGGCAAGTGATAGTCAAAGATGTGGTCGCCTGCTTCACTGATACGGCCTCGATCCATTTGCTGTGAGCATCTACAAGGACAAGGATCATGCTTCCATTTATTGGCCCCGCAAAATCTACATGTACTCTTGACCAACTTTCCTGGCACATTGGCCAGCTAACTGGCGGGGCAGATGCCGGCATAGGTCGATTTTGAATACAGTGTAGTAAGAAACCGAAACTGAAAGTGCGAACAAAAGTATCAACGCAAATGAAGATAGAGGAAGACGAAATTGTGTGTGTGGTGCGTGGCGGCGCCGTTCGTGAGAGGGCGCGTGAAAGAGATTCTCCGGAACGTTGAAGAAGAAAGTCGGACCGAAGCAGTCGGGCAGCAATGGCAGAACGAGGGTTGTGGCGGCTACCGGCTCGTTACGGCGCGCAACCTGTCACGACTGGACTGCAGACAACCTCGGGCGACGAGCTACGCCAGGCGACGACGGTGCTCGTGGTCACGGTCGAGACCTGCTGGCGAGACGGCGTCTACGTGGGTTGCCGAGTCAGGGAAGCTGAGACGTGCTGGGCTGATCTATCGGGTGTTCTTGGGCGTGGCCGAGCACGGATCCGACCAGCCACTGTACAGCGAGCAGCTGTCCCAGCGACGGCCGTGGTGCGACGGCAACTCTGGGACCTTCCCAAATCCAGGAGACGCAGCGACACGTCGGACCATCTCGACGACAGTGGCGTGAGTGGTTGACGTCGAGTGGTGCGCGAACTAGATTCGCTGTGTCAGGTCCGCGTGAACCGTGACTACGTGTTTTAAACCCGTAGAGCGAACTGGACTGGCACGAGTTAGGAGTGCATGTATGCAGCTTTAGTTCATGTATGTAATTATATCCAACTTGTATACACGTCCTGTCTTTGTCTTAGCCCTAGTCTTTGTCGGTTGAGCGCCTGGGCCCACACGAACCTCTCACAATTGGCGAGCCTGCCAGGATCGGCTAACAACATCTGTAGCCAACGCTCAAACAAAGGGCCGAGACATGGACAACGACAGCGTCGTCAGTATTGGGAAAGAGTTAGGACTAAAAGATGCTAAACTGAAGGCATGGGTGGAGCAAGAGCATATAAGATTACGCGAGGAGCGCGCTGAAGAGCGAAATGCTCTAAAAGCGGAAATGGCATTGAAGCAACAGCTGATAGAAGAGGAGCGCGCTGCAGCTCGCGAGAAAGCGGAGCAGTAACAGCAGCTGCTAGAACAAGAAATGAAGATTCTCGAACTGAAGCTTCGGCTTCAAGAGAGTGCCGCTAGTCCGCAGGCCGCCGATAACATAAATGCTGCAAGCACGAACGCGTCCGTTGCATCGAACGTGTGCAGTCCCCACAAACTCATACCTGCGTTCAATGACAAGAGGGACGACCTAAATGCGTACCTACAACGCTTCGAACGTGTCACCACCTGTCAGGAATGCCCGCGCGAGAAATGGGCACTTTCATTAAGCCTTTGTAAGACCGGGGAAGCTTTGACTGTAATCGGACGCATGAACCCAACCGCAGCCTTGGACTATGACACGCTCAAAAGGGCACTCCTCCAGCGGTTCCTGTACACGGCAGACGGGTACTGGGAGAAATTCCGTTATGCAAGGCCCGAAAATAGAGAAACCGCCAAGCAGTACGCTTCGAGGCTCTCGGGGTACTTCGATCATTGGTTGGAGCTCGCGGAGGTGGAGAAAAGCTTTAAGGGACTCAGAGAACTAATGATTGCTGAGCAATTTGTCAAGGGCTGTTCCCCAGCATTAAGGGTTTTCCTGAAGGAGAGAAATTGTCAAACCATACAGGAACTCTCTCAGGCAGCTGACAATTACGTCGAGGCCCAAACTTTGCTGAACTTTGGTCGAGAGCGACAAGAGAAGGAAGCGACCCAAGGGCCCAGCTTGAGAGCGGATCAAACGAAGAAAACACCTCGAGGAGACAATCGCTGTTTCCTATGCGACAAGAAGGGGCACAGGGCAGCCGAATGTTGGTCTCGTACGAAAGGGAATTACAAAGACCAAGGTCGAACAGGCAAAAAGTTGCGTCCTAACAGGAACAAGTTATCCCCCGGAGGAGAGGGCAAGAGAGGGGACTCGTGCGCGGTCTCAGTAGATAAAGCAGAAGTCACAACGGATCACGAGGGTTATGTCATCTTACAGGATGGAGAGACAATCCCGATCGTGAATGCGACGGTGAGCCGAAGAGTTACTGCTGGTGGGCCTCGAGACATGCCAGTGACGAAAGGGCTCTTGGATAAACATGAAGTTACAGCACAGCGAGACACAGGCTGTAACACTGTTGTAGTGCGACAGGCGCTGGTAGCTAAGGAAAAAATGACCGGGATTTATAGTCCGGTATTCCTCCTCGATCACATAGTACTATATTTACCAGAAGCTGCGGTCTTCTTGGAGACACCATTTTTTAGTGGTGAAGTTCGAGCAAAGTGCATGCAAGACCCCTTGTACGATGTAGTCTTAGGAAACATCAGAGGAGCCCTATCACTGGACACCTTGAGCATGAGAGACAACAAAACGGGCAATTCCAGTCGATGCGTGGACATCGATGAAATAACGCCGAAGAAGTCAAAAGGTCGTCAGTGAAAGCGAGGACATCAGATCACCGTGAGTGAAACCGCCAAACAACCCCGTGCCACAAGGACCAGGCCCAGTGACAGCAGCGCTATTGTAGCATACAGCGACACCCAGATGGCCTGCGCGATGCTATGGCAAACAAGGGCACGTCTAGATGGATCTTCACTGCTTTCGGCCTCGCCATGGCAGAAATCGCAACCAGGTGTGACGCGTTTCCACAGTATAGTCCCCCCACAAGATGACATGTGGTCGTCTCATGACCCAACGCCCAGGGTACCACTATGCCGACGAGCCATGCAGCATGCCTACTTCAAGCGACGCAGAAGCAGCTGGTGCATTCGAAATCGGCCGGGGCTTCTTACGCTCTATAGCAATGACACGAGGATCCTCTGCGACGCAGTGCAGCAGTCACCATCGTCGCCTTTGCCATTGATGCGAACACCGTCTTTCCAGTGTCAGTATCGACAACACCGGAGCAAGACGTACCAGCGACGTGACAATACTTATTGACGCTGACTAGAAGTATGGTGCGGTGTCGCCACTGTGACAAGACACCTGTGTTGTGAATCTTGCGTTGTGGTGCTGAGTGTCGGTGCGTGCTTTATTCTTAGAGCGAGTAGTATGAGTGCACCTGGTTGTGACGCATACACGGTACGCAGGTGCGTGGTAGTACATGTCACTGCCGACCGTGTTCAAACGTGAAAGAAGTGCATCAACCTCCCAGGATAGTGTGCGGAGCAAGTGTCGTGCAGTGTTTTGTGACAGATGCTTGCAATGCTGACATTTCTGCATGTGCCAGTAATTGGTCCTGTTATTGCTGTGTTCCGTTGTGTCGCGTCAACACTAAAGCTTTCCACGGCACAACGTACTGAAAGTTGGGGGGAGTGTAGTAAGAAACCGAAACTGAAAGTGCGAACAAAAGTACTGACGCAAATGAAGATAGAGGAAGACGAAAGTGCGTGGCGGCGCCGCTCGTGAGCGGGCGCGTGAAAGAGATTCTCCGGAACGTTGAAGAAGAAAGTCGGACCGAAGCAGTCGGGCAGCAATGGCAGAACGAGGGTTGTGGCGGCTACCGGCTCGTTACGGCGCGCAACCTGTCACGACTGGACTGCAGACAACCTCGGGCGACGAGCTACGCCAGGCGACGACGGTGCTTGTGGTCACGGTCGAGACCTGCTGGCGAGTCAGCGTCTACGTGGGTTGCCGAGTCGGGGAAGCTGAGACGTGCTGGGCCGATCTATCGGGTGTTCTCGGGCGTGGCTGAGCACGGATCCGACCAGCCACCGCACAGCGAGCAGCTGTCCCAGCGATGGCCGTGGTGCGACAGCAACTCCGGGACCTTCTCAAATCCAGGAGACGCGGCGACACGTCGGACCATCTCGACGACAGTGGCGTGAGTGGTTGATGTCGAGTG